CTATCTATCTATCTATCTATCTATCTATCTATCTATCTATCTATCTATATATATATATATATATATATATATATATTAATCTTCTGTAATTTTCTGAGATAGATATAGAAAACATTTCCACATACAACTTTATGATCCCACTCATTATGGAAGGGAGGATTCAGGAATCACTGCAAGGATTCTTGCTTCTGTATCTTGCCCTTTAATTTAGAATGATTTCTCAATGCACCAAGTAGAACAGTGTTTCTCAACCTTGGTGACTTTAAGTCCTGTGGACTTCAACTCCCAGAATCCCACAGCTCTCTTTATATCAGTGTTTCTCAACCTTGGTGACTTTAAGTCCTGTGGACTTCAACTCCCAGAATCCCCCAGCCAGCTATGCTGGGGGATTCTGGGAGTTGAAGTCCACAGGACTTAAAGTCACCAAGGTTGAGAAACACTGAAGTAGAATGTGTTCTCTCTGTAGATATGAATGCCAGCCTAAGAGGGGGTGGGTTCCAACTCCTCCAATTGAATTAGAAGTGTATGACTTGACTATCACCACCATCTTTATTGATAATATTGCCTCTATTTCAGGCATTCCAGGAACTGACTGGTGGATTAAGATCCAAATGGGCAAACTTAATGGAGAAGGCTCAGTCATAAAGATAGAGTGTACATGGAAGTATAAAACACACAATCTATAGTTACACATTGATTTCATCAGATTTACTGTACAGTTCTTTAGGAAATAACAGGCAGCCGAAAAGAAAGTTTCACATGACAGCAAAATTAATTTGAAAGGGAACCAAAGGTGTCATCTCGTCCTGGAAAACAACGAGAGAGATAATAAACCAAGGACCTCCCTAAGATTTTCTTTGGTGTGATTTGGGGAACTGAGCTTTGCCAAATTATTTTGATGTCTCATTAGGCTGCAACCGATGCTGTGCTACTTTGCACATTTAAAAAAAAATATGTAAAGGGTATTTTTAAATATGTGTTTCATATAAATATTTTATTCAATATGCTGTATCTGTGTATACAACAAAATGGTAATAAACACAAACTGTACAATGCAGACAAACTTGTTGCTTATATGTATGTCAGTTTTGCAGTACATACCAACAGGTCTGATACATATAGCCTACTACATGCAAATCATTATTACCATCCTTTTCCCATGCAAACAGATGAGACAAACTTAAAAAAAGTAACTAAAGTACAAGGAACCACACGTTCTCTCCTCTGTGCTGAAATGGATTTAGATTCTCAAATAAGCTTATTTAAGATCCTCCCAGTCATGGAAGGTGTGAAGGCAATCTACATCCATTACAACAAAGAGGGGAATACATGTGTTCTACTTATAGTATATAGTGCCAATCATTTACAAACATGAACTCGGTCTTCTTATTAACTACATGGCTGGTTGACATGGCAGTATGGGCACGAATGTAAAAATTTAAGGGAATGTATTGCAACTGGCAAAAGAGAGTAGTTCCCTTTGGCTAATCTTGATTCTGGCCCCAAAACCTCTTTGTACATGGAAAGAGAAGAAAAGGTGCCCCAACAGAAGAATTGTGCAATGAGTACAAGTCTGGAGCAGCAGAAAAAAAAAATCTTACTGGCATAATAAAATGAGTTGACAAGCTGATGTTACCTCACCTTATGCTTCATGGTTTATGTTTGGTTCCAAGTCCTGAGGTGATTTACAAGCCCCCAACCTCTCCCCTCTCCAAGCTCCATACTACATCATCATCATCATCATCATCATCATCATCATCATCATCAAAATGAAAGGGAAATGATACATTTCACACTTTTTATTTTGCACTCTTGTCTGAGAGCTTTCAGTTGCACAGTACAGAAGTATACTGAAAATCAAAGTAAGCAGCCTCTAATAACTGGTGCTCTAGGAAAAAACCCCACAAAACATTTCAAAATTCAGAAAAAAAAATGTGACAGGCTGGTAGAGCTGGGCAGAGACCAATTCTGTGTCTACTATGCAGAGTGTCTGAAATGGCATGGCTTCTAAAGTCCCCCAGGCCACTTGTGGAGAACCACAATGACTCCTTTCTACCCTGTGTGGGGATAAAATTTAAAAAAAGCCTTCTTCCCATATCTAAGATATTCCTTCTCTAGAAGCCAAGGAGAAAAGGATGTTTATGGTTCATTTTTGTGTGCCAATTCTTTCCTTTATTGTAAAACACTTTTAATCTTTTTTGTTGTTCTTTTTCAAATGCTACTAAATTCTGGGAACAGAATAATGTTTAATGTGCTTCACTTATGTGGCTGAAAGAAATCAACTTAAAACAGCCTCTTACCATGCATGGAGAAACCAAGAAATTGGAGGGTCAAATACTCCTGTTGTACATGAATAACCTACTAGCAATGTGCTACACACCTACCTTAAGGGCTTACTTATTCAAATAGAAGTTGATATGAATCAAGATTCAAGAGTTAATTCAAAGTTTAATCTGTTACCACCAAACCAAATAGGAAATCTGAACATTCCATAATAACTATGAAAAGTAAACCAATATTTAAAATCACGTTGAAAAAAAAGTTCCAAAGTTGAAATGGAAAACAAACATGAGTGCAAATGTTTAGACATTTCATACATGATTTTCCAGAACAAAGATACATTTTGGTCCACATCATGCTTTCTTGTTTTCAATATAGTTTCCCAGTATCTACTTTGAAAAATTTATCCATAAGAGTGTTTTGTAAGAATAGCCTGTACTATTCTTTCATTTTGGCCTCAAGGCTCTCTATCAAAAAATAAATAAATACTAGTATTTATTTCATTTAGTAATCAAAAAAGAAACATTCTTGACCTTGTTCTTTCATTAGAATTTTCTTAAATTTGTAGAATACAGGGAAAACCAAAATAATAAGATAAATGCAAGGCACCGAAAATCTAGCAATTTGGTGGCCATAATATCCCAAGAAGCTGGACTGGAAACATAGTGCTGTGGTATAGATAAAACAATATATTGCCTGGACTTTGCATGCTAAGCTATCAAAGAAATGCAAAGGAACCCTTCAAATATGTTAAAAATCTTTCCTCTCTTTGTAACACTGAAAATATTAAAGTATAATCGGTAACTATCTTTTGCATTGGTGCTGCAGAGAAAAACACAACTTCCTTGCCCATGCTTTGCTGAGTAAGAGTGAACTACAGCCATAAATAAAGATGGGATTACGTTCCATTGTTTAAAAACAGGAGAAGGAATCTATTGTTTTGAAAGAGACGTAGGTAGCAGAATTCCCATTCATTCTATTTTTTTTTCTTTTGAATTTCAGATAATGAGTACTAGTAGATGAAAAATGAGCCTTAATTCAGGCCTACAAGGCCTACAGAGTTCTTTGGACCCACTTTCTTAAAAATATGTGGGTCTTGCTCGCTGGGCAAGGCAAATGTTACCATTACCAGTAAGTCTGTGATATGTATAAAACACACACACGCACACACAGGGGGTATCAAACATTGGCCTTGAAAGGTTGTTGACTAGCCACACATGATGCTTTTCCTTCCTCGGGAACATACTGGACTGTATTCAAGCGCAATCCTTATTTGCAATGATCCTATCTTTTACAGGTACGATCCCTAACAGGGTTTTGAAGGCTCCCCTAGTTCTCTGATTGCTTTCCAAAACTAAGCCATCAGCAACGCTTCAATCTGAGCAAAACATAATCCCTGCAAAGGAGTCACACAGACAGCGGAGCAAGCAGCCTCATAAAAAAGAGGAGGAAGAAAAAATCCATAATAGCACAGGTTTTACAGCATCTATCTAGAAATTACTTGTTATTATTCTGTGGGCTACAAAATTGAACTTGAAACACAGGGGAGGGAGGGGAGGGGGGTCTCCTGGGCTCCAAAGGGGGAGTTATGGGTAACTGTCAGCAGGCAAGAGATATCAAGTGTACTTGTGAAGTATGCCATTCACATGAGGTGTCACAGTCACAGAAAAGAGATTAAAAGGCATTCCATATCTGGTAGGGCATTCTATGGTCGGAGTTCAGCTGGTCATCCAGAAGTCTTTTGCTGTGGGAGGAGTTACAGATTTGGAAGGAGTACAGAGCAAGCCGTCACTTGCTTCCAGCCAATCCGCAGACACCAGAGTGGGAGAGTCTTGCAAGGATAAAGTGCTCAGCTGTACATAGAGAGTTCCGTAAGTCACAACATCCCCAAGGCTCTGGCTATGTGGTCTTACTCTTGTTCACTGGTTTTCCACCATTCATTATTGCCGATGCACTTGTGCTTTTACTTGGCGTCACCCCAGCCTTTGGCACTGTTTCCCCAACATCATGTAGAGAGGGTTCTCGATACATGGCAACTATAGTATTAGGGAGAAAAGAGAAATCCATGTTAAGTCAAACAGGCTAGCAAAGTTTGTTTCTCCACTTATTTCAGTGCAAAATATCAGAGCATCTTTCCTTAACCTGATGCAGAAGCGGTGGTTGTTTTTTTTTTTTAAAATATAGCAATAGCACTTAGACTTATATATCATTTCATAGTGTTTTTACAGCTCTCTCTAAGCAGTTTACAGAGTAAGCCTATTGCCCCCAACAATCTGGGTCCTCATTTTACCCACCTCGGAGGGATGGAAGGCTGGGTCAACCTTGAGCCGGTGAGATTTGAACTGCCAAACTGTAGCTAGCAGTCAGCTGAAGTAGCCTGCAGTACTGCACTCTAACCAGTGCACCACCTCGGCTCATAATATAACACAACATACATCAAGACATATATATATATTCGTGTTTTGGCCACATAGTGAATAATCTCAGATGAATCTACGATTAAAAAGCAAAGTGTGCAATCTAAGCGAAGCTGATTAAAATTAAAGATGTATTTAAATTAGAGTGCATGTCTGCCCATTTGCAAAATCTGTTTTACTGTTTGTGGGAAAAGTCTAGAAAGGCAGCTGTATTATTCGGTTGCAGCAAAAACAACATTGTGACTAAGATATATTGTGGCACAAAACTGTTTTCATTAGAGAAAGTGTGAATTGTAAATGGGGCGAGGACTGGAGGGCATTAACATGCAAAGGAAAACTTCTCTGCCATTTCTGTGCCAAGTAGGAGAAGACAGAGCCATTTAAAACATAAGTCAGCAGCAGTTGCTCATATGCTCTTATTTAGTATATAATTTAACTGGCTAATATAGAGCAGGATCTTTAGTGTCCACTCTAATCATTTATTCAGCATGATTAGACCACAGTCTGATTTTCACTTACCCAGATTAAGCAAAAATAAACTCAGCACAAAATAGCCATGAATGGAATTCTGACCAATTTTCACTATTTTTGATTGCTTAAACTTGGCTATCTTTGTTTCCATTTTATTTATTATGTGATCTAAAGGGTTATTTATAAATAACATGCTAAAGTCAGCATAACACATGCTGTGGATATAAGAGAACTTCTATCTCCATGGAAAAGCTCTAACTTTAGAATATGCATCAATCCGAAATAATGAACATTTGTAATTATTTTTATGTGAACAGGAGGTGGAAGTAAGTGCCAATAACAATACGATCTTTTTATCTAAGCCAATAAAAAAAGCTGCCAATAATTATCCAATACGTGATCAGCAATGGAAATTTAGCAAGATTTAAAATTAGCTATCAAAAAAACGAGGTTCTTTTCATATATAGGTGGAAAGCTATGGAAAGAAATTAAAAACTATGACGTTCAAATCTTCGAAAGTCAGTAAGATATTTAGGAATTAATATTTCAAGAAATCTTAGCTGAACCAAATGTATTAATTTATATCTTGCTTTTGGAAACAATGTAAAAGAAAAAGCGCACCACTTTATCTGGTTTGGCCAAGTTAATCTGTTTTGTTGTGGGCAAAATAGTTGTCCAACTTGTTTTCCTATTTCTAAAATATACTAATATATCTTAATTCTAAGGTCTTGAATTCCTGGCAACAAATTATGTTTATAGAAAAAGACTGAAAATAGCAAAAAAAAGTCTTATGATTTTTGAAATCCCTAAAAGGTGGATTCTCCTTCAGGCCAATTATGGGTTGTGATTCTTTCCTGAATAATTTAGGAGGGTTATCTAGTGATATGTTAAGGCAGAAGAACTTGTTTAGATCAATTTACAAATAACAAATAATGTCAGAAGATCTTTTTTTAAGTGGGAATTGGCATATACGAACTTCGATTGGTTCAATTGGTTATAAATTAACAAAATGAATCATTTTGTTAAAAATACAATGATAGCATTGTGAATAATGGTCTGAAATTGGAACTAACGAAGTATACTAATTGTCTAATATTCAAAACACGTAATTCCCTGTTAGAAGTTGTTGGAGAGAAACATGGGATTAGAATTTAAGGTACAGGTTATTCTTGTTTATCAATCATAATTAGAGGTGGAAACTCATTTTGTTGAGCAAAGCAGTTACCAGCAGAAGAATCTGGAGCTGAACACTTTTAAAACTGTAGAGGTGAGAGTAGATTTTAGGAGAAGCCCTCCCATTCTACCACCTCTTATAGTATTAGACAATACAGTATCAACAGTAGAGACCTTCAGGTTTCTGGGTTTTATAATCTCCCAGGACTTGAAATGGACACCTAACCTTAGAACCATCATTAAAAAGGCACAACAGAGAATGTTTTTCCTGGGTTAACTCAGAAAGCTCAGACTGCCCAAGGATCTGCTGATAGAGTTCTACAGGGGAATTACTGAATCTGTCATTTGTACCTCTATAATTGTCTGGTTTGGCATAGCAGCCAAACAGGACAGATACCGACTTCAACAGATAGTTAGCCCAGCAGAAAAAACAATTGCAACCAGCCTGCCTTCCATAAAGAACCTATATACTGCATGAGTCAGAAAGAGGGCTGAGCAAATATCTACAGACCCCTCACATCCTGGACATAAATTCTTTCAATTTCTCCGCTCAAGACTTCACTACAGACATTGCTATGCCAAAACAGCTAGACACGAAGATTGTTCCCCCTCCCATGCCATCACTCTGCTAAATACTTAACTCCCACAGCACTGTCTTATGCCTAAAGTTATTTACCCATGTAGTACCCATGTATTGCTATTATCCTTCTCATCTTCTCATCTTTCTCACCTCTCATCTCCTACTACCTTCTCCTATTGATATATTATGATTATCAATTGTTGTTTGTATCTTATGATTGTATCTTAGAATTTATGATCTATGATCATAAATGTTGTTGTTTGTATGTACACTGAGACCTTATGCACCGGACACAAATTCCTTGTGTGTCCAATGGCATTGGCCAATAAAGAATCTATTCCCTTCCCTTCAACTTATTATCTTACTTCAGTTTTCTTTTGCTTTTACAGATTTGCAAAGGTCATAAATGCAAACATTGGTTGCTCTTTCATTAAAGTTACAATTATAAAAGTTCACTCGACAAGGCAGAAGCTAAATGAGGCTATATGTATAATATCTCAGATACACAATGGACTATACTTTGGAAGAATCCTATGGTATGTTCTATATCATCAAAGTTCAAGGAAAATTGCACGCGCGTGATCCATTGGTGGTATTTGACCTCTATACATTTTTTTAAAAAAAAACGATTACGGTCACAAACCAGCATTATAAATGAGAAGCATTAAAAAGTGGAATGAAAAGTCAAGATAATATTTAACAATTGCTGGTGGATTTTCAGTGGGCACTCAAAGTCTGCCAACCTCTATGTAAGTAACTAAAATTACTGGGAAAGAGCCATATACATGTTGAAAGTTTGTTGAAACAAAGGGCACCTGTGAAGCTGTAGAAAGATTCAGGTCAGAAATGATTAGTAACTTTAACAGTATGAAAAGAACACTTCCAAGAGCTTCTTAAACCTCTAGGAGAGTATCACAAAGAAGCAACACAAAACAGTAGTGCTAGAGCCAGAAATGCTGATTGAGGAAGTGGCAAGAAGTCACCCAAATACAAAGCCCCAGGAATAGAGAGTCTACCAACAGAAATAATTCAAGCAACAGGGGAAAGCAACATCAGATGGCTTCAGAGAATCTTTAATGCACATTTAATATTATTGTTGATCACACACTCAGCCAGATACGTATTTAGACTGGATTTGACATTTTTATCTACCTATCAAGTCCAGGATATAAACTTTTCGATATAAAGTTGCCTCTTGCAATTGACTGATTTTGTCAATGCCATTAGTATTCAAATGGTGCTTCTATTGCTTTGGATTGTACTCAAGAAACCAATTACTATTGTTACTATCCATGCTGCTATTATTATTATAATACAATTGTATCACAGCGGCCAGTTGTTTCGCNGGTGGAGTGATAGGGCAATGCCTCATGTGTCCTCAGAAATGGCTGCACATGCCACCTGTGGCACACATGCCATAGGTTCACCATCATCGATAAAGATCTTGGGTGGTCAAGTGGTCTTGTGACTGGTTGAATCACAAGACTGATTGAATCACAAGACTGGTTGATAGTTTCCAGTACCTAGTTTTTCATTGCCTAGTTGAGTATGAAAAATGTCTGGGAGCCAAGCAACAAGCTTGGAAGACAAAACTCTGACTAAAATCTACAAGATATGAATATTCTCTACAATTTCTATCCAACAGTAAGATTCCCACACTAAGCAGTAAACAGTTTTAGATTGCTGTCAAGATTTCTTTTTATACTAAATGTTGTTATGTTGTGATTCTTTATTGTTAATAATGCAGTTTCTGGTTCTGTATTTTGTTTTTAACTCTTTGATCTGTAAAAGTCCTAAGAATAAATTGAACATGACACATTCTAAAGCGGAGTTTTCATCTTCTGCTCCTGTCAACAATAACAAAGAAGCACAAATGTGAAGGAAATGTTATCTACCCACACGTTGTCTGCCTCTTGCCTAACACTTGCCTAACATTATAACATTTTAGAAACACTCCAAGTCTGCTTATTAATTATTAATTTTTTAAAAAAAAGTAACTTTGATCTTTGTTGAATACAAATTGATTCAATTTTTTTCTTATAAGATCAACAGATAATAACAGCTATCTTTTAAAGTTTGCGAACCTATAACTAAATACCAACTAAAGGTATTTTCAGATGTTGCTTTTCTATCAATTGAGGACTGTAGTGTGCTGATGCCAGCTTGCATCAACTTCCGAGAACTGAGGGATTAATTTTCTGGAATCCTGTTGAGAGCAGAGCTATAACCCCTAAGGTGCTGCTGATCACCTGTTTGGATGGCTAGCAGTCTGGCATGATGTGATAATGGAGCTAGCAGAACCAATTGTTATACTGTATATATACCAACATACCACTGTTTAAAACTATAATAAATTATCCCACTGCAGACAAAATTGTTTATCTCAATGATAATT